GATACACTTTCAAGACGAACATATTTTTGGGATACCGCAGTCCCATGTGGATCAGAAAATAGCCACAATGTCGTACAATTAAACCCTGACGAAGATAAGTAAAACCTACTAACACCATATACTACATTAATGCTATCACTCAAAAAGTTTTCAACAGAAACCATCCGAGCCATTGCTCGAAACCCAAATATAGAAATACAATCAATTGGAATTTATTCTAAATCTGATATACAACACCATATTAGAACACAACAATTCCAAGAATTACTTACACAAATGGATACCATACAACGACAATCAATTGATCAAAATTTAAGAAAACTTGCAGAAACCGCAGGATTTGCAGACCTTTATACACAAGACTACAGCGGATATTTTAAAGACATTAAAGATTATATATATTTAAACGGTGAAAAATACAGACCACAAGATATTTCACCCATAAATATTTTTAGTTTTGTAACATTAAGAAATGAAATACTCGTTTTTCTAGGATGGCCCTATTACATCTTAGAAAGATTGACTATCTTATACGCTATGCTTAATTTTATAGGATTTATTTTCTCACTACTAAAAGGAATCTATAATACATGCGCTATACACATACAAGTCAACCGTCAAGCAAGTGTAGCACGTATATTCTTTGCAGGATTTTTTGGAATACTCTCCTCATCCATTAATAAAATACTTTTAGACGCACAAATAAAAGAATATAACACAAAATTAGCCGCAAGACCAAATACATACGACGAAGAACACAAAAATGTAGATACAGCACCTACAGCACCACAAATACCAACCCTACCACAAAATCATCCCTTATCTTTAGTTCCCAGAAATTTTCGAAATTTAGCAATCACAAATAACCCAAATTTTCGACCAAGTTCAGCACAAAGCCTCATTCAGCATTTAACGACAAATCATTCAAAAAACAATAATACATACGAAAAAATTATAGAACAACCCCACACCACCACTTTTCAATCTCAGCAATCATTTTTTTAGCCCACGATGAGCCGACAAGTTCGAGCCCTCCACCGCTCAAATTCCCACCCAGCCAATCTCCAAAACCCAATCTCAATTATACCACTTTTCGCTTTCCCCCAACCTGATTTTCCAATTATTAATATACCATCCAGCACGAGTTCAGACACTAACTCAGATATTTCAGTTTTTCAAACTATTTCACAATTTAATAACTCAGACCTCGAAACTCCCGATGAATTTGCAAACTCTGAACCATCTCCTTCCATCTATACCCAAACCAGCCCTTCAAATTTTTCATTACCCCCTTTTCAACCCATCCATACCAGTCAACCACTACCATCCCTTTCCACTGCCTCTTATGCATCCCAAGTCACCCTAACATATACCCCATCCCTTTCTGAAAGATCGAACAATAACTCCCCAGATACTCCACAAATCTCCTCAGAAATAGATAACTATATTACCCTACAACAACAAATTGCCTACTCCCATACTCTTACCATCCTTCATCTATCATCCATAACCACATCATCCGGCCCACCAACACCTACACCGCTATCGGACTATACCCCATCATTAGCTCAATCATCCACATCCACTGAAATATCCACTAGCACTAACCGAGCTTACCGCACTTTTAAACGCAAATTCCAAATCACCCATTCACAACTAAACCCGGAACAGCTAAAGAATATATTAACCATCCACAACATAAAACCTTTCTCCAAACAAACTTACCATCATTTCCTCAATACACTTTAAATACCCCCACCACTAATAACGACACTAGAAATTTTGTTGATGAGCACGCTTTAATGCCAACACTACACTGGACATCATACTACCACTATACTAACCCTCTTTTTCTACCCCTTTATAATACACAAATCGATAATGAAAAATGCAAAAATATTTTATATAGACTAACAACAGCCCTAACACCACGACAATTCACATACGTTGGATTTAAAAAATTACCCAAATCATTCACCGCACCCCGAGCTAACGATTTCACTATCGAATATTATGATCACAACATCATACGCCCTAACCAAGACCAACTTTTAGACGACGACCGCTTTGCTAACCCGCAACTAACCGAAAAAATTTTCATCAAAACATCATACTTATTCAAACTTAACATTTTTGATAAAAAAACATGACCACATAATCTCCGAAGCCCTCATTGACATGCAAGCATACCAAAGTTTTCAAGACAAATTTCAATTATTTACACTAACCTTCCACTTTCTTTCACCACAAGAACGCGATTTGCACTGCTCCCACGATATTATGTTACGCACTAAACAGACACACACTTATACAAACTATCGTTTCATACAAAATCACTTTGACTTACACACACCATCTCGACAGCCCCACCATCGTTTTCAATTTATTAACTCAAAATACACGTCACCATTTTTTCTTAATTTTACTTATTGTATCAAAAATACTAACCTCCGTAACTACGATCCCGTTCACCAAATGTATCTATTATGCCCCATCACGAAGACCTTCCAGGACGAAGAATCCAGACCCTTCCTCATCCCGCATGAATTCCCACAACCAATTGAAACTCCCATTTTAGAGTTTATCCATAATACTAAATATAATCATAAAATTTACAATCTAATACAAAACACACCTCATGAATTCGCAGTAGGCACCGAAGAACTAAATATCATCAAAGCACTTGATTTGCTTTGGCCACTGCTATAAACTAAAAACATCATCCGCATACTAGCTAAATTATTGACAACATCTGAATTAATCCAAGCACTCTTCCCACATGGCTTTTTCCCCGAAGACTAAGGTAAGTATAATTAAATTACTTTAACTAATAAATATAAAATCTACTAACCATTTTCTATAATCTTAAACTTCTTTTTCTAGTCTTCTCATCACCATCATCTACAAAAACGGAAAAAGAAAATAAAAATATAAACTTGTTAAATTAGAATACAATTCATATAAAACTCATTTGCTAAAACTATTTTGATATACTAAAATTTTTGCACTATATAATGTCGTAAAATTCATACCAAATGTAGTAAATTAATTTATAAATTCTTCCCCCAAGAAAGCAGTAAATATGAATACAATGAAAATTTATAACTTCAAATTTCCCCGAAAGTAGTAAAATTCAAATTCAAGCAGTAAATTTATGAATTGAGCAAGCAGTACTAACCTTTTTATTTATTCGCAAAAGAATTTTATCCATACTCGCACAAATCGCCCAGAAAGTATTATTTAAAATAATGATTTTGTGTTTCAAGCTTTCAATAACAACAACTCCAACTAACGATAACAAGTTTCCAACTTTTCTTTAACCCGGTTGGAATGGAGTTATACACTACACCAAACTAACCAATGCAAATGACTAAACACCACAAATCATAAAATAACAGCATGAATAAGAAAAGAACACCAACGGTACCCAAACCGGATTAACCCAGTTTAAAACTGGATAATTTATTCTTTTGAAGACTATTATAAAGTCAACGAAAGAAATAACAAAACACAAAAAAGTCGAAAGACAAACCCAACCCAAAAACAATTCGATTTTTGAAAAAAAGGACACAACCATAAGTAACATAAGAAAGCCCGGAAAAAACCAGCATATAAAGTTAACACAAAACAGGACCCCTCAAAGAAACAGCATAAAATCATACTCCCACTCCTGGCCTAACCCACAAGAGAAGGACGTCCTGAGCATGCTCTATAGCCGGCCTAACCCACCGCGCTACAACCACGCTTTGTGACCACACTTCTATTTTTAATAAGAGGTACTCAAGGGTGAGTAACTCTTCAAAATAACTGAACTAAAATAAAACGCTTTTGTGAAAACAACTAACCAAGATCATAACTAAAAAACAATTAACTAAAATCTATAAAAAGTAAATCATAATATGCAGTACATAGATCACACACAACCACAAGAACGAGCATCCAAAGACTAGACGATCCCATCACAACTTGAACAAAAAGAATGGCTACCAACCACAACCGACATGCCGCCCACAATCACGACTCAAAGGATTTAGAGTACGACTTGACTTCGCAGCAAAGGACTTCATTGAACCAGACCAATGACCACCTCGATGTTCAAGTATACGTACAGATCCGAGTAACAAGGCATCCCTTCCAAACACGAATTTCACGCCATTCCCAGATGAGGCTGATCACAAAACAGTTCTCCACAAATGCAAACAAAACTGACATAGCAAAGCATTTTGGATTCTGGAATCTAAACGATTTCATTGGGGATCGCATTCGTTGTCGAACGACAAGAAGATAACTTCCTGTCCATCAATCCAGCGTTCTGGAACGTTTCTCTTGAAGAGAAACTATGTCGACGACTCTAGTTTCCTGGACCTCTCTTCTCCAAGGAACAAGAAAAAGAAAATGATGTTCGCCACATACCCACATACCAACGTTCATCATCCATCCTTCAATTGCAGAAGAAAGAGATAGAACTCAAAAACTCTGCAAACCCCCGATGCGTGGAACCTGATCTCAACTACTTTTTATTATTTATAAATTAGATATTTTACCACTGTAAAATATTTAATATTAACCAATCACAATCCATCCAACTAACAAACCACTTATTTGTAAGTGCTGAAATTACTTGTAATTTCAGCACCAGAGAGATTTGAATTTAACTTTGAAATTAGTTTGAAAGTTAAATTAGTTTTGAAATTAGTTGCCTCTCCCGAGTACTTCAGCAGCCGCAAAAATACCAGTATACTCTAGATCTATTGAGCCTAGCAGAGACTAGTTAAACACCCTGAGACTAGTAGATATAAGAGTAAGATTAGGATCGGTATTAGACTAAGAAGTTGCACGAATCTATCCGGCCGAAAATAAGATAGCGTGACGAGCAGACGGTGTACCCTATCCAAAATTACTCTATGAGATAGGCCTCCATACTTAACTCACAAGCTAGTAAACTTCCTTTTTTGTCACATGACTGTGTCAAGTCTATTTAAACTGCTGTGAGTGTTTACCTGCGCATCGTCCAGACGTGAGGTTGGTGGCATATCCGGCAACACACCTGTAGTTCTCTGGCAAATCCGCACTACCATCTGGCAACTCACACTCATCGTCTCCGATTTCCATACAACCGTCTATAAAAAGATAAAAAAATAGACAAAAGTTATACACAACGACCATCTATTTTTGATCAACTATGATGTTAAGCTGCATGGGTCAATAGTATGAAAAACTTCATTTTTAGCATATCAAAAAATCAAGAAACTATTTGGCCTCTTTTTTTCTTTTTCTCTATTTGAGGTTTGCCAAAGACTTTTCGCTTTTGCATTTCTTTGGTATACCAAGCAGATAGCTTGACCCAAGATATATGCATTCAACCAATTATTCTGCCCAAGAAAACTACTATTTTTCCGATGAAACTATTCATAGCACAAATAGACTCACATGTAGCTTTGCCAGCTGTAACATTGGTGTATTGTGTGGCCAATGTACTGCCATAGAAAGCGTAGACTCGGAAGGAGTAATTAGTGCCGGGGGTCAGTCCATTCACCACTCTCTCATACACCTTCGAACACACTTCATTTCCGCCAACAGTCTCAAGTAGACATGAAGTGGGCGCCTCATACGACGCCTCAACATCAGCTGAAAGGTCAGCTGGGTCCACAACAAATGCCCTGATCTCCACAATTGTGCTTTCCTCTAGGGTCTCCTCACTTGGGTAAGTTGCTTTTATTTTGAGTGATACTGATCCGATGTCTGCCTCTGGGATTTCAACTTCACTGAATGACAGAGGACCTTAAACACAAAATAAATCAGTTACAAAACGAAAATTAAACCAAAAAAGCTGCCAACATTTTTTGTCCTAATTGTTTGACCATGTGAATTTAAGAGCAAAAGTGAACAAGAACAGAAAACGGCGTCTTTCTCATATTTTAGCATTAATATAAATATTGGAGCTCAGCCAATCTACAGCTCCTACTTTTAAAAATCGAATAGACTGTTAGCAAACAAAGAGAAATATGGATGTTTGGTGATATAATCACACTACACACGTGCTAATTGAATAAGTGATAGCAAATTTGCATAATTAAGTTCTGCATATTTAGTTCTGAACCTGAAAAACATTGTGTTGACCATGAAAACTAGTTCTTAGTAAATTTCAAGAAGTTGACTGAACGGCGAAAAGCATTATATGGTTTGGAATTACATTGAGGTAAAGTTCGGGGCTATTTTGAACCAATTAAGCGGCAGTGTAGTACTAGGAGAGCTTTCTGAGCTGCAGTCTCTGAATAAACGGTAGTTACCAGTGGAGTCTTTCGGAGTCCTTGCTCTCAGCTTTAATTCATATTGAGTTATATTCGATGGGTATAACTCATAGAGTAATTTCGGATAGGGTACACCGTCTGCTCGTCACGCTATCTTATTTTCGGCCGGATAGATTCGTGCAACTTCTTAGTCTAATACCGATCCTAATCTTACTCTTATACTATCTAGTCTCAGGTTGTTTAACTAGTCTCTGCTAGGCTCAATAGATCTAGGGTATACTGGTTTATTGCGGCTGCTGAAGTACTCGGGAGAGTTCAACTAATTTCTAAGTTAAATTCAAATCTCTCTGGTGCTGAAATTACAAGTAATTTCAGCACTTACAAATAAGTGGATTGTTAGTTAGATGGATCATGATTGGTTAATATTAAATACTTTACATTGGTAAAATATCTAATTTATCCAATCATAAAATGTAGTTTAGATCAGGTTCCACCCATCCGGGTTTTACAGAGTTTTTTAGAATAGTTTTTCTGCAATTCGAAAGATGGATGATGGACGTTGGTATTTGGCGAACATCTTATTTCTTCTGGGTTTTCTTATTAGAGAAGTCCCAGATTCAATCATTGTGTCTTCTCAAGACAACGACTGGGTTTTCGCAACAAACTCAAATCTGATTTCAGAATGGTTGGCTATGTCAGGTTTTTCTGTTTCATTGGTGAGAACTTCTTTGTGTTTGACCTTGTCTGGGAATGGCGTGGAGATTGTGCGTGGAGGGGATGCCTGGTTACTCGGATCTGTACGTATACTTGAACATCGAGGTGGTCATTGGTCTAGTTCAATGAAGTCCTTTTCTGCGAAGTCAAGTCGTACTCTAAATCCTTTGAGTTGTGATTGTGGGCGGCATATTGATTGTAGTTGGCCATTCTTTCTCGAGTGTAGTAGGGTCGTTTTGTCTTTGGATGTTCGTCCTTGGTGTTGTATTCTGATCTATGTATTTCATAATGTAATTTACATTTTATAAAACTTTTATTAGTTTAATATTTTTTAATTATGATTTTAGTTAGTTGTTTTCACAAAATCTTTTTGTTTTAGTTCAGTTATTTTGAAGAGTTACTCACCCTTGAGTAGCTCTTATTAAAAATAGGAGTGTGGTCACAAAGCGTGGATGTAGCACGGTGGGTTAGGCCGGCTATAGAGCATGCTCAGGACGTCCTTCCTGGTGGGTTAGGCCAGGAGTGGGAGTATGATTGCATGCGGTTTTTGTGAGAGGTCCTGTTATGTGACAACGTTTTATGTTGGGTTTGTTGTGGTTTTTCTTATGTTTTGTTGGTTGTGTCCTTTTTTCAAAAATCAAATTGTTTGTGGTATGGGTTTGTCTTTCGACTTTTTTGTGTTTTATTATTTCTTTCTTAGACTTTATAATAGTCTTCAAAAGAATAAATTATCCAGTTTTAAACTGGGTTAATCCGGTTTGGGTACCGTTGGTTTCCTTTTCTTAGTCATGCTGTTATGCTATGTGTTGTGGTGTTTAGTAAGCTGCATTGGTTAGTTTTGTTTAGTATATAATTCCTTTCCAACCGGGTTAAAGTAAAGTTTGAAACATGTTATCTTGTGTTAGAGTTATCGAGTGTGAAAGCTTGGAACTGAAATTCATTACTTTAAACAATTCTTCGTGGGCGAGCTGTGCGAGTTTGGATAGAATTTTTATGCGAGTGAATGAAAATATCAAAAGGTTAGTACTGCTTTTGCTTCTTATGAATTTACTACATAGAATTTTAATTTTACTGCTAGTTGTTGGGGGAAATTAAGTTACAAATTTTCATCATTATTAGATTTACTGCTGGTGGGGGAAAAATTTATAAATTAATTTACTGCATTGGTATTATATTTATTTAATTGTTGGTGCAAAAATTTAATAGGGTCTTAAACAGTTTTGAAGAAGTTTGCTATTTTTTATTTTTCTTTTGTGAATTTTTCAGATGATCTAGGATGAAGGCTAAAATTCTAAAGAAAACATGGATAAAGAATGGTGAGTTTCTAATGTTTGAATTAATTAGTAATATGTATAATTCATACTTACCTGTTAGTCGTCGGGGAAGAAACCGTGGGGGAAAATGTCGTGGATGAGATCTGAAGTTGTTAGTAGTTTGGCTAATATGCGGATGATATTTTTAGTTTGAAGCAGTGGCCAAAGCAATTGAAGTGCCTTAATGGTGGTTAGTTCTTCAGTGCCAACTGCAAATTCATAAGGTGTGTTTTGGATTAGATTATATAATTTGTGGTTGAATTTAGTGTTATGGATGAATTCTAAAATGGGGATTTCTATAGGTTGTACAAACTCGTGTGGGATGAGGAAGGGTCGGGATTCTTCTGCGTTGAAGGTCTTGGTGATGGGACAAAAGATATACATTTGGGTTATGGGATCATAATTTCGAAGAATACCATGAAGGTTAGTATCTTTAATGCAATATGTGAAGTTAAGAAAGAATGGTGAGGTGTATTTGGAATTGATGAATTGAAAACGATGGTGTGGTTGTCTGGAGGGAGTGGGTAGGTCAAAGTGATTTTGGATGAAACGATAATAAGTATATGTGTGTGTTTGTTTAGTGCGCAACATAATATCGTGTGAGCAGTGCAAATCTCTTTCATGTGGTGCAAGGAAACGAAAGGTTAGTGAAAATATTTGGAAGCGTTCTTTAAAACTTTCGTAGGCTTGCGTGTCTGTTAGTGCTTCTGAGATAATGTGGTCAAACTTGCGATCGAAGATATTTAGTGTAAATACATATGGTGTTTTAATGAAAAATTTCTCGGTGATTTGTGGGTTAGCGAAGCGATCGTCGTCTAAGAATTGATCTTGGTTAGTTCTGATGATGTTATGATCGTAATATTCTAGTGTATATTCATTAGCTCGGGGTGCAGTGTGTGTTTTTAGTGATTTTTTGTATCCAATGTAAGTAAATTGTCTAGGTGTTAGTGGTGTAGTGAGTCGATATAGCATGTCCTTATTTCGTTCTATATCGATATGAGTGTTAGATAAAGGTAAGCAAAGGGGATTTGTAAAATGATAATATGAGGTCCAAGGAAGGGTAGGCATTAAAACGTATTCGTCTACAAAGTTACGTGTCTCGTTAGTGTCATGAGGGGTGTTTAAGGTGTATTGTGGAAATGAGGGTAAGGTGATAGCTAAAAATTCTTTTGTGTTAGTGTGTTGTGGATGGTTGATATATTCACGGGCTGTTCCTGGTTTCGCTGGGAAAGGATGGTTGGGGAACTTCCTTTTAAAAGTGCGGTAAGCTCTATTAGTGCTGAGTGAAGATACAGTAGTTGTGGATGATGGTGCTAATGAATCAGTATAAATTGAAGAGGGTGTAGGGGTAGGAGGGTTGGATGAATCTATTGTGGATGAGATTTGGTTTATGGTTGGGGTGTCAAGGTGATAGGATTGCTGTTGTAGGGTAATGAAATTATCTAGTTCTGGGGAGATTCGGGGGGTGTCTGAAGAATGAGATGATTGGTTTGAGTGAAGTGAGGAGTAGGTTGGAGTGACTTGGGAAGCATAAGAGGGTGTAGAATTGGTTGGGTCAGGGTTATTTGGTAGTATGGGTTGAAAAGGGGGTTGGGAAAAATTTAAGGGATTGGTGTGAAAATTATTTGATGGAGATGGTTCAGAGTCGGCAAATTCATCGGGGGTTTCAATATTCGGGTTATTGAGTTGTGAGATGGAGTATAAAACTGAGATGTGTGAATTAGTATCGGAATTCATGCCGGATGTTACATTACTGGATGGGAAATCGGGTGGCGGAAAAGCAAAAAGTGGTATTATTGGGATTGGAGTGGTGAGGTTGGTTGGGTGGGAATTTGATCGGTGTAGGGATCCAAGTTGTCGGCTCATCGTGGGCTAAAAAAATTATTATTTTGAGACTGAAAAGCGGTGGTATGGGGTTGTTCTATAATTTGTTCATAAGTATTTTCATCTTGTGAGTGGTGTGGCATTATATGTTGGATGGGACTTTGTGATATGGTTGGTCTAAAATTATTATGTGTTATGGCTAAATTTCGAAAATTACGTGGGATTAGGGATAATGGATGGTTATGTGGTAGGGGTGGTAACTGTGGTGCTGTTGGTGTTGTGTCTGCATTGTTATGTTCTTCGTCGTATGTGTTCTGTCTTGTTGCTATTTTTGTGTTATATTCTTTTATTTGTGCGTCTAAAAGAATTTTGTTTATAGATGTAGAAAATATTCCAAAAAATCCTGCAAATAGTATGCGTGCTACACTTGCTTGTCTATTGACTTGTGTGTGTATAGCACATGTGTTATAGATTCCTTTTAAGAGTGAAAAAAGAAATCCAATAAAGTTAAACATTGCGTATAAAATAGTTAGTTTTTCTAAGATGTAGTAGGGCCATCCTAGAAAATCAAGAATTTCATTCTTGAGTGTAACAAAGCTAAAAATATTGATAGGTGATATATCTTGGGGACGGTATTTTTCACCGTTTAGATATATATAATCTTTAATGTCTTTAAAAT